TTTGGCTCTGTGGAATATTAAAAGTATTCAATACTGACAGGTGATTCTGAAGAATTTCTTCCTTAGAAAGAGAAGTATATGTATAAGTAGGATTACCACTTGTAGAATTAAATCCAAGTTCTTCTAGAATGCAATTTATATAATGAGCCTTACAAACGAAGACAATGTTGTTACCTGCTTTGTCGGCAGGAACCAGTACGTAGATTTAAGGAGGAATGCCACACCAACTTTTTATTTTAATAGATCTCTGAGTCAACCTTTTTAAAAAATGGTTTCAGCATTGAAAGGCCGACATTAGCTCCTTATTATTTTATATGAAATTGTTTGTATTTCTTCAAAGAAAATGAAAAAAATTATTTACATCGAAATAAGATGCTTTCTTGTAAAAAATTTTGCTGTAAATGAATGCATCACATGAATACCTAATAAAATATGTAAAGAAAAGCCGCATAGATATTAATTTTTTTAAAATATAAAAAAATATTTATGAAAATAAAACACATAATTTGTAAATATTTTTAAACTTGTGGTTAAAATCTTCTTAAAACCAGTCACAACTGGGGAGAACATGTTCATTAATCATATTTATAAAAGAAATTGAAACGAAATAGCCAAATTTTAGAGAATTTTTTTTTTATTTTGGCCAATCCCGATCAAAATTAAACCGATCCCAACCATAGTTGTACAATTATTGGAAATAAATAACATTTAAGAACACTAGTCTGATTAGGTGTTATAAGCGTTAAAACATTATTGAACCTGACAATAAAATAGGTTTCTTCATTGTAAATACATGAAGAGGCAATAAATTAGCATTTTATTCATTTTGTGTTAATTTTGATCGGGATCAGTTTAATTTTGATCGGGTTAGGTCCAAATATTAAAAAAAAATAATTTCACTAAAATTTCTCAATTTCGTTTCAATTTCTTTTAAATAAAAATATGATTGACAAATATGTTGTCCTTAGTTGTGACTAGTTTTATGGTGTTTTTAACCATAGGTTTAAAAATTATTCACAAATATTGTGTTTTATCTTCATAAATGATTTTTTAAAAAAAAAAAATAAAAAGTCTAACCAGCCTTTCTTTACATCATATGATGCATTCATTTACAGCAAACTTTTAACTCGAAAACAACTTATTTGGATATAAATAATTTTTTTCATTTTCTTTGAAAAAATACAAAAAATGAAAGATAAAATAATTAGGAGCTAATATCGGCCTTTCAATGCTGAAACCATTGTTTAAAAAGGATGACTCAAAGATCTATAAAATAAAAAGTTGGTGTGCCAATGCACCTTAATTCTTAAATCCAAAATATAACAGGCATGTTTATGAATGCTCCAAAAACATGCTTTATTTTACTCTGATATTGTTTTTGTTATGATTCATTTTGTCATTCTTCATACATAACCATTTGTTGTTTCCAAATTGAATTGATGCTTCTCAAATTGGCGTATTGGCATTACTTATTAAATATTGAAAACTTATTGAATTTTGACAAAAAGCTGGTCATAATTTACGATAAATGTGCCAGTAGATTCTAACATATTTATAAGAAATCCTGTAAAAAATGCTCTGAATGGTCATTTGTTAAATGTTTTTATCATTCATTTCTTTACCTTATTTTGATAACTAGGCCTAATTTTGCACTTCGTGGATTTGAAATTAATTTTTAGATCATACAATTTTATATAAAAAATGGAAATTAAAGTGTGCGTTCAATTTAAACGGTACATGTAACATAAAACAAAAGTAAAAACATGTAACTCACTTGGAGAAAATAATTTTTTTTAATATACACCGTTTATCGAATAACACTATTTTTGCCCAGATACGTTGTTCCAAAAGATAACATTACAGTAACATTTATAAATTTTATGTATGGTTGGTTTTTAAACCCTGTCCTTTTAAGGGCGATTACTCGTCATCTGACACACACCGATTTGTTGCTGAAACAGAGATTTCGCACAAGGATATAACCGAACCTTAGCCGAAGGCTCAAAAGAGAAAGCATTTATCAAAGGTACAAATTTGTATCGTATTATCCGTTGTTAAAACCTGCAAATACAAGTTTCGAAAAGATAGTCATATACAATTATCTAAAATTAATTTATTATACTCAATTAAATGTTCTGTTTATATCTATAATTTGCAATATATTTTTAGAAACGTACGACTTCCTTGGGATGAATTTCTATACGTCAAACTTGGTGTATTCTATAAGTGACAACACACAGAGCTTCATCTCAAGAACCACTGGACCATAAAAGCTGAAACTTATGTGGAAGCATCCTGGGGTAGTGTATAATCTAAATTGTTCAAATTATAAACCCGGGCGATACGCGGCAATTTATCACCCAAAATTTTACATAGAAATATATATGAAAAATTTTAGTGGATACATTTCATGCAAAATCATCATCAGTTTCAGTGATTTTGATTGTAAGATAACAACTTTCAGATTCTAAATTATTCAAAAGTGACACCGATTGGTAAGTCGAATGTTACAACTGGGTAAAATCAAAGTTTAACCAAATATATAACAGAAAATCTTTGAAAATGGGACCTCAAGGATGACTGGGCACAGAATATTCTATTATAAACATTATATTAACAACGTACTCAAAGGTAGGGTAATCTTCGAGGTTTATTAATTTACTGTAAATGATAACTTTTTGTCTCGGTTAGATTTTCGCTGATTTTATCGAATTTGAAGATCCATAAATTTATATCAACTGTGAAATTATAAAATTTCAAACCAAACGGTAGAAACCTCTTAAGCCACGAATTTGGGTAATGTACATTTTAAATTGTTCAAATTTGATCCCCAGGGGAAGGGCGGGGCCACAATTTGGAATAAAAAAATTACATAGAAATATATATGAAAAATCTTTGAAAATCTTCTTCTGTTGAACTACTGGGCCAGAAAAGCTGAAACTTATGTCTACATGGAAGGAATATGGGGTAGTGAAGATTTCAAAATAAATTATGATCAGTGGGGTAGGTTGGGGATGCATTATGTATTACAAGGGGGAAATCTGGTAAAGAACAGAATGATCAAAGCTTCTCAGGTGAGCGATGTGGCCCATGGGCCTCTTGTTAAAATTCTGTGGTCGCTACAATGACCTTTTTAGCAAATTTGTTTCATCACACGAGTTTTATTTTGGCTACTTCTTTCAATACCACATGTCAGCCTTTGTTTTCTGACTGATTCGACATGAGATGTTCCATCTACCTCTTAAGTATATAGAGCTCATGTCAGCTAGCCTATGGTGCTCAAGACGGGGGCGCTTACCCCTTCTTGACATCTGATCCCATCCCTATAATATTGTTTGTTTTTATGACTTTATTTTTATAGATTTTACTAAATAAGGTAACTGTTCGTTATCCGCACTTCTTTTATAAGTAACTGTATCATATTTGAATACCCAAATAAAAAACTAACTTGAGATACAGAAAAATATTTAATTATTAAAAAAAATATACAGGAAAGACATAACATTGAGTAAACGTTGATATAGAGAAAACTCAGATTTACAATAATTTTACAAAGTACCCCAAAATTTACACCAAATTACAGGGATTGATGCAAATTTATTGTCACAACTGCTATAAAATCGTTAAAATTTAATTTAAAATCAACTTTCTAAAAAAATTGCCTGAAAATACTTTAAAAAAAAAGAAACAAATACAAACACTAAGTTTTTTCGGGGGGTTTAGTTTTTTTTCTATGAGGTTTGTATATTACCGCATAGCAAATACGTTTTTTTTTATCCAGTTATAGAAATTTTTTGGCAGACAAAAATGTTAGCAAAACTTAGAAGGTTCTTTTTTTATATTAAATTTACTGTCATTTTGCTACAAACCGTGTTGTTTTGAGCATTTGCAGCATTTAAATCATTAAATTTTGTTCAAATATAAATTTTGAATTCATCTTTTACTAAAACTTTTTTTTTTATTTTTTTAATTTTCCTTCTTTATCACTTGATTCTAAGGAGAATGTCAAAATGAATCATCATTGCGACGTCTGTTCATTCTCAACACCCAGCGCCGTGAAAATGCTAATATTTTACGGAATTCTAGGGCTACAAAATAGATGTAGTGTCTAGTGCAATTTAATTATTTTAAAATTTTAAAGCAACTTCGTAATACAACATTAAACATGAAAACCGACAAAATTATACAAATTTTACGCAACAAGTGTACAAAAAAATATGACGAATAAATTTTGAAGAAACTAAAAGCAATGTAACTGTATGAAATGATAAAAAAAATATCGGAGATGGGGGGGGGGGGGGGTATGGATTGCTTAAATGTTAAAGGTTCATTGCAACTTAATTTCAATTATTTTTATAAATCACAAAAAGAAGATCAACTTTGTAACCTTGATGTCTTTCGCAACGTAATTTTAACTTTACTGGATTCTTCCCTGGAGTTGAAGAGTTCCACTAAATGAAGGACCCGTGTGCAATACTTTTAATGTCTATATATGGATTTTTACACCTCTTCTCAAAGAAATTTTGAAGAAAAAAAAACCTAACCCTTACCCTAACCCTGCAAAAAAAAATTCATGATTTGATATCTATTCAAAACCCCTGGTAACGCATGCTGAATTTTTGTCAAAGAACATGTAATGGTACCCGGTATTGTAAGTTTGAATTTATAATATCTTGAAAAATTATCAAAGTGCATCAATGAACCTATGTATGCAAAATTTCTTTACAAATATATAAAAAATTATACGAATTCAAAGTAAATCCTTTAATTTTACTTATACTGTAATCCGTATTGTTTAATATGTAAAATTAAAAAAAAATCATATACTACGTAGACAAAAATTTTTTAAATACAAAAAACAAAAACAAATGAAACTAAGAACACTTGATCAATCATTAAGACTAAAAACTACAGCAAAGTTCAATCAATCATAACAAAAATATTATTAAAAAGCTAAAGATAAGAGAAAAGTAGAAATATATATATTTTTAATATGCTTATTGTGACAATGAATGTTTGAAAGATAAATGTTAAAAAGAAAAATTAAATTAATGATCTGCCGAAAAAAAAATTTCAAAGATCTTAGCACTACCTCTTGAAGGAAAATTTTGCATGAAGGTTTTTGATGAATTCCTTTACGTGTTCACCTCTGTATGAGAATTCTCTAGAGACCTCCCAGCCATGATGTATTGTAGAATCTGCCGCTCACGATTTCGTTTCGATTCAACTTCGTCGTCAAGCTCTAAATACAACTTTACACTTATATTACTGAATTGTTACTCAACATACACTTAATGTTCACGTCATATAGAAATATGACGTTACCATTTCCCCGCAAGCACTTCCTAACAAGGTACAAATTTCTCTATATTTTTGCGTAAGTAATGTGATAATGTGATATTTTATATATAAAAAAAATGAAATTTCTTTTTTTATGAGATTTTAGTAAGTACAAAATGGAAGGCATTAATTTGTAAATAAATTAAAGATGAAATAAACTTTTTAAAGTGCGTGAAAATTCGTTATTGCGGGGAAACGGTATGTGCAGTGTACGTGATTTTGCGTTTGAAATACATGGAATTCATGTTAATTCAGCATGATGATTTTTATGACTTACGATTGCGTCTCAATTTGCATCGGTATACAACCCAGTGCACTGGAATGGTGATGAAGTCAAGGTAACAAAATGTCCTGTCTCTAAAGTCCTCAATCACGTGATACCGTTCATACTGCCAAACAAGTCGAGACTTCTTCAAAATCTTCTCATACGTCGTCCTGTAATGAGAATGGAATTAAGATATTTAATTTGTTGTAGGCCTTTGATATTTTAAGAAACTTCCATCACAAATACGAAGATTGACACAGAAATCTATAAATAGACCCAATAAAGTTTCAGAATACTTAGTTGCAATTGATAAAATAAAAACATTCGCTTGATATTTTAAGAAACTTCTATCACAAATACAAAGATTGACACAGAAATCTATAAAAAAAATAAAACAATAAAGTTTCAGGATACTTAGTTGCAATTGATAAAATAAAAACATTCTAGAAAAAGATATTGTTTTGAAAGATGAATGAATTTGGGGAAATAAATGATGAATCAGATCACTCACGTGAACAGGGCGATGATTAGGTTAAGGATAAGGAGATTGCCCACCATTATATGTATTGCTGCTATACCTTTCACACTCCAATCCACCTCTGAAATGAAGAGAGTTCAGTTCTTTTCAAAAAATTTCATAACAAAAGTAAGTCAAAGTGATGGGAGGGGATATACAGTGTATTGTCTATGCAAGACTTAATTATATCTGAGTATTTACTGAGAGATAACTTGACAATGTATAATCGTGAGGACAGTTTCCAGGAAAGGTACCCAGTATCTACATGACTGTCTCTTATGCTTTTGGGTACCCATCTATATATGCATTTCCTCTTATACCATTGAATGAAACTTGTAACATATGTATTAAAGTACGAGTTAACAAATACAAACAATCTTATGTACGACGTATTGTGTTACCATGTTGTCTCGTTCAGGAATAAATTATTTTAGCACTCAACACGTGGTTCTACATTTTAATGACATATATCCACGAACTGATAATGATACAAAACTCAATGAGCCTTTCAGAGAATCTTTGTTACATTATAAGTGTCATTGTCCACCTCCTATTTTACTTTTACATGTACATGTAGATCTGAAACAAACTAAGGGTTTCCCATACACTGAGAGAATTACATGTTCCTAGTTGATTTAACTAGTGTGCCTAGTAAAGCGTTCTTCGTGATAAGTAATAACTCTGTTTACTAGATAAGAAAGTGAGAAGTGGAGGGGTGGTCGTAAAAATACTTATATACCTAGTGAAAGTTACTGATGAAATCTTAGATTTATTAATGTTATCTAGTAAATCTACCTATACCTAGTAAAACTATTTTTGAGGTAGTGATTGTATGGACAGTTAATTTACTAGTATTCTTAGTGACTTTCACTAGTTATTTTTTTTTCAGTGTAGCAAACATTAACACTACCATTCTTTCTATAATATTGAAGGATATCTATCACTTATCCGCAACTCCTCTTTGACCACTGAATAAAATTTCATAATACAAGTACTTGCACATAATCTTTCTTACATAATTAATGACATTGCACATCACCTAATTTACTTTTTGATCCGATACTTATTTCGCGTGTACCAGAGCAAAACATCGTCATAATTACCATATGGGAGGGTGGAGTACATGTTTCATGTAGAGATGGAAAGATAAATTACTTTCGTTGTTGACTTGCACAAGAAATTTGCAAAAAGATATAAAGATACTGTAAACCAACTTCTATTTGCGACGAATTATTACGCGATCAACAGGGGGAATTAGTTAACTAGTTTACGAATATTAATCTTCGCGATCAAGCCATTCTTTGGATCTGTTGATAATATACACATAGACTTTGAGGACCTGTTCGCGACGAGAAATATTCGCAACGAAGAGCCTCATGTGAAACTCGCTCAAACGTGAACATTTGTACAGTACACTACTACATAGAATTTGTAAAGAGATGGAAAGATACATTACTGTCGTTGTTGACTTGTATGCCAATTGTTTCTTCGAAGGTTTCTCCAAAGTACTGATAGTAAGGAAAATAGAAGATTCTCCAGATGCGCCATTCATGCCATTCCCCAGGGAAAAGATCGGGGTTGTCCCGAACCAAAATAGCCTCAAAAAAGATTCCTGTGCCCAGCACAAAGAATGCAATCGTAATTAGGAACCTCAACAAAGTCAAGAGCTGAAAAGATATTGTCACAATTATATACTTTGAAAATTCTAGCATAACAAATGTACCATAAACATGTAATTAAGAAATAAATAGAAAATTTATAAACTTCAATGGGAAATGAAGTGGGTCGGTCGCGTAATCAAATCCCTGTGAATGCCGAAGGCAGCTCTATGTACGCAGGTTAAATCGATCACCAAAAATGCATGAAATACTTGTTTATGTTGTAAATAAAACAATAATTTAACTTGCTTACTCCGTTCATTTTTTTTATGGCGTGATTGCAATGCTTTAATATCTACCAACAGATTTGCACATTTATCGAGAGTAGAATTTAATGAAAAAATTATAGTTTTAGCCTATATCATGATGATTTAACTTAAGGTCTACCAAAAAATAAGTGACATAAATCTTGTAGACAAAGGTTATATGACTAGTTTCTATAGGTATATTCTCTATGTACGCAGGTTAAATCGATCACCAAAAATGCATGAAATACTTGTTTATGTTGTAAATAAAACAATAATTTAACTTGCTTACTCCGTTCATTTTTTATGAAAAGCGAGTAGAGCGAGTCATTTTATATTTCTTTATACTGGTAGATTATAATTGCGCCGTGTGATCCGGTAATGTATTGACCTCTGACAAACTTCATACAGAATATTGAAGATATTTTCTTTGTATGTTTATATAATGGAAAGATGCCACAAATGTATATATTCATGAAATGTAATAATATGAAAATTTAACAGACCCAAAAAGACAATTATATAACATCACTAAGTGAGAGTATAAAAGATGTTTCATATACCATTTTATTTTAGAAGCAGGATCAGGACAAATGCAATCCTTGGTTTGATTGATTGAGTGTATACTCGTCTGTTTAACGTCCTTCTCCAGTATATTTCACTGATATGGAGACGTAACCATTGCCGGTGAAGGGCTGCAAATTTAGGCCTATGCTCAGCACTTATGGCTTTGAGCAGTGAGGGATCTTTATCGTGCCACACCTGCTCTGACACGGGGCCTCGGTTTATACGGTCTCATCCGTAGAACCGCCTCATGTAGTCGCCTTATACGACAAACAAGGGGGTACTGGAGACCTATTCCAACACGGACCCCACGGGGAACTCTCCGGAAAAGACCATTCATCTTCATTCAATCCCGATCCCCCCTAAAGTTTGCTTCCTCTTTCCCCATTTACATGTATTTTGAGAATATATGAAATCCTTCTGTGATCATACTCAAAAATGCTTTTCCCTATGAAATGCAAGAATCTTTTTTTTAACTTTGTTTTTTTTAAGTAATATAGCGATGACCCCAGACCTTCTGGAGCTGCCTCGCTGTGGTTCCGATTCATTTAAAAAAAATTATTTATATTTTTAAAATCAAAATTCAAAATGTTAATGAAAAGAGTTTAGTGAACTTTGTTACTTTCTCTGTGTCCTGAAAAATGGATAGGGCGTCTTAAAATTTTATTATTTGTTCGTGTACTTGGTTTTTTTTTCTTAGTGCAAAGAGTTCTAAGAGGACACATGTTTTTTTTCTTAAAAAAAAAAAGAGTTTTATCATAGCCTACTACTTGCTTTAAATTAATCAATTTCTTACATTGATAAACACTTTTCAAATTAAAGTATACATTAATTTTTACCTACCATGTGTTTCAGAAAAATGAGTGTAATTCCTGTGTAATGGTGAATAACAAGCAGACGCATGTAACGAAGGTAGGAGAAGAGCAGCAGAAGGGCTGCTGAGCGAGGGGCAAATCTTGGCATTTCCTCATTAATGGCTACGCTATGTCTCGATGTGATCGTTAAAACGACAAGAATAGCACAAAACAGACCCAAGACCTTCCACATATCGTTCAATCGAGAGAGAAATCTGTATCTACATTTTCTCCTAGTTTCCGTTCTTTTCCACAACACTCCCTGAAAAAAGAAAAAAAAGTTTCATTCTTTTTAACAAAACTGCGTTCTTGTCATGAATTTGAAACTGAACAACCAAATTGAATTTAGTTAATAATAAAATTATTTATCCCCTCTCCAAAAATGAGTTTATAGCATATTTTTCAATCATTGTTGAAAAATGGACATATCGAGCACAATCTATGCTAAAAAATACAAATCTGGACCGGACTCAACACGGCAGAGCAAACATCAACCTTGGAAACATCGGAGGTTGGATCAGGTGCCATGGATGAGTGGGTATCTTCTGCTGGCTCATCACACCGTTTTTGGTCAGGCAAAAAATAAGGGAAAAAATTGCAGTCAATTCAGGGTGTAAAACTTGTCCAACAATTAGTTTGAAAAACCTCTATCAGCAATTGACTTCAGGATGGAATGTATTTGCAGACAAGGAATAGACCATAGAACATGCAAATTGTTGACGTCAAGCGAAAATGTTGATATTCTTGTTTCATCAATTTGTTTGTAAAAAAAAATATCAGGTATGGCTTTATCACCAGCAAATACGATTCATATCTCAGTTGATTTTATATGCGAGATCAGGATCTACTTTCGAAGAAGACAGGCTGTTGCCCAACAAGTTAATCAAACAATAGTATCAATAGTTTCCAAAGATCGATAATAAAGCATGTCCAATTTATCATTATTGGAATATGTATTGTATTTCTCATGGAAATTATGCCAAGGATTCGCTATTTGTCTCGTCTTAACAAGAAACACATAGCGGTGTAACCGCCGACGATAGATGTTACTTATCTATGTCACCTTTACCAAGCAATGGTGTATCAGAGGTCCAGGTCTGCTATCTTTCCGATTGGTATTGTTTCAGTAGAGGGGAGGTAATAACTGATACACATACCTAGCACTTTATTTTTATTTCCGTCGGCCCAGTGGCTTTATTTCAACCGTTTAACCATATTTCTGTTTTTCTTGATTATTTTTCCTTCAAATAGAATAATACAGAAAAAAACTTTTGAGAAAACAAATACCATAACGCTGACGATGTCATTCAGGAAATCCAACCCTGTCCAGACGTAAAGGGCGATCTCAGACATTTGAAAGAAGGCAGTCATGTCCTGATAGTTCTTTAAATTGGTCAGCAACATGTAGCTATACAGGAGGATGATCACTGCAAAGAAAACCTATAAAAAGAATACATAAACAATAATATACAGGACAATAATCACTATAAGGAAAACCCGGGAAAGGGGATCATTAAAAATAACGTCACGCATTTTAAATCTGTGACATAAGTTAAAATAGAATGATTGTATTTGCTTACAAGTTACGTACTGAGTATAAAATTTGGGATGTGTTGAATTTAAATGAGACTGTAAAATTAAGAATTAGTTTGTACATAAAGCATTCTCTTGCGTGTCGTATAAACAGAAGAGACACAACAATGATTATTAAGCTCACGTAATGCAAAACGAAGTGGAAGCAGGGAGCACTCCCGGCGACAAGTGGTTGTTCCTATAAAACATGACGTCAGAATTAGAATTAGTTATGTTTCATCGCTGATTAAAAGAATTTTAACATAATTGAATCTGAATTTTTTAAGAAGACACACGAGATGGGGAACTACATTTACTTACCAAAAAATCCTTCCAAAATCTCATGGACAATCCGCTGGGAATGAGACCATTATACCATATCTTGTTCATCAGACCAACAGAGCACGGATGGGCAATAATATCGTACATCTTCGATTCATATGCAAACGATATAGGTCGGGCTTCGATAGTCCAGACTGTTTCTAAGTCGTCCAAAATTTCAAATGCTACTTCCCTGTCCGTCCGATAAAGATTGTCCATCATACTTAATACTCGGTCTGTGAACAATCTGCCAAATGTGTCAATTAAGTTAGAAATAATAGAATACGCCTACCATCAATATGTAAAATTATTACAAAAAAGTTGTAAAAATGTCATGAGACCTGATTTGAAGTAAGATATGTACCTAAGAAGATATGTCAAACTTATATATCACTGAAATGCATTCTCCCAAGGTCGTCAAGGATCAACATTTTAATTAAAGTAATTCTTTGTGAGATTATTTACTTAAAATAACACGTTACTTAAGTTATGATTTATTTGAGCCTTTGTTATACGAAATAATATTAATATAATAGTTGGGACAATTTACGTTTTATAAAATATAAAGTGTCAGTCATGAACACGGAACTTCTTTGGGTTCTTCTCCCAAAGTATATTTATAAATGTTTTTTTGCAAAAAAGGTACAGTTTCAATACAAAATTAGCGTTATATTTATTTTTTTTTCTAATAAAATATGAAAATGATATAAGAAAATAAAATTCATTTTTTCTGATTCAAAGGAACTCAATGCAGTAAGAACACACAAACCTTTTCAACTATTGTTAAAGCCAATTTCATAACTTTTTAAAGAACATTGCATTTTGAGGGCACAATTAATCCCATACTGTACCTTCTTCTTACCAGCTTCATTTTCAGGTCTTGAAAAAAGTAGCAAATCGAATCCTACATCATGTTTTCAAAGAACAAAATGATTTTACCCTTCTTTGGCAAAAAAATTCGGAAAGTCACTTTTCACGTTTATTTTTTAATGCGTTGTATCTCAAAAAATATTTTTCTACCTCGTATATTATACAACATAACGAATACATTGAATTTAAAATACCAAAATCTGAAAAAATTAAATGCAAGTCATCTCATCCGATATCATTCCTACAATGGCTTATCTTTCATTCTGTATCATTTTGAAACAGTTCATACTTTTATGTTTGTGATTATTTGTAGAGTAAATTTTCTTAAAGTTGTTTTACACAATCAAATCAACACATTAAATGCTTAGAATAAGTATACAACATTAAAAAAAATTTACTTTGAATGTTCAGTCAGCTTCATCGCTAACTCCTCGTCCTTCAGTGAGGCTATGGAGGCCATCTCCTGGAGAATCAATGCACTGACGAGTCCAGTATCTATAATACAATATAAATCCAATATAAATCAACGAACAATAAGCCACAACGCTCACCTGGGTCAATATGATTCTGATTATCTTTAACAGCAATTTTTATCCCAAAACGTTTTTCCTTAATTTGCCAAATATTCTTGAAGAGAATTGTTTCTTTTTTAAATGTAGGTCCACCTTCCCCAGAGGGCCATGGTTTGAACTAACTTGAATATACATTAGCTGAAAGTGTTTCCATATCATTTTTAACTTATCATTACCTTGTTTTATTAAAAAGGAAGATATTTTATTTCCCCTTATGTAATCCAAAAATTATCTTTGAATCCCCATTGTGGCCATTTCGTATGTAACATTTTGATCCTCATTGTGGCCCTACCCCACCCTTGTATGGCAGAATTTCAACAAATTGGAATACATACGTTAATTTAAAAAAAATCAAATTTAAATTTTCAACTTTATTTTGTTTAATTTTAAATGATGTTTCTTTTTAAAAATGCGTTGTCTTTCATTTTTAAAAAAATGTTTATACAAATTTCTTTTACCAAAGCATACATTAAAGGAAGTTGCGTTAAAATGACCAAGGAGTTCTTAAAAAGACGTCAACACTACGGTAATAGGTACACAGACAAATTAAAGACGGACGGAAAGACGGACAGACGTCAGCCAAAATATCACCAGAATAGTTCATCTGAACTTTAAGTCTTCAACAATGAGATAAACAAGAGGCCCAGGGGCCACATCGGTCACCTGAGCACATCGGCTAGGAAAAAAGCATATATCAGATCAGAACTGAAAGTTTACTGAGGTGAGGGGGGCTTCAATTTTAATACTATTTGAGAATGCCTTCATATCGATAAAGCTTATGACTTTGCTGTTATTGATAAAAATATTTCTTTTTTAAACATTTTGTTCCTCTATATTATTTCGCAATAACTTGAATTTGATTCCCCATTGTTTTCCTCCCTATTCTAAAGGGCCATGATTTCAACACATTAAAATCTTCAATACATGAGGATGCTTACACACCAATATGACTTTACATATCCTTTCTGTTCTTGGAATTTTTCCCTTTATTTTTCTATGTAAAACTTTGATCCACCATTGTGGCCCCACACTACCCTTGGGGTTATAATTTGAACAAATTTAATTCTACACTACATGAGAATGCTTCCATATAAATACTAGTACCACTTATCATGGCTTTGCTATTCTTGATAAGAAGACTTTTAAAATATTTTTAAAATCTACACTATTTGAGGATGATTCCATATAAATATCTCTAGGCATGACTTTGAAGTACTTAAGAAGATGATTTTAAAGATTTCCCTATTATTCTTACGTAAAACTTTGATCAGCCATTTTAGCCCTACCCTACCCCAGAGTTCATAATTTGAACAAACTAGAATCTACACTACGCGAGTATGATTCCATATATATATCTCTATTCAGGGCTTTAAAGTACTTGAAAAGAAGATTTTAAAACTATTCCGTATATATTTCTCTGTAAAACTTTGATCGGCCATTTTGGTCCCATCCTACACCTGTGGGGTCATGATTTAAACAAGAGGACCATGGGCCTTATAAGTCACCTGAGTATCATGCAACAACTTTCCAACAATTGAATTTGATTCATGTTTTAAACTAGAGGCCATGAAATTCACAATTTTGAAAGAGGCTCCATTGCTTATCATAATTATACACTGAGCATGCTTATTTTGGTTACTTAATACCCAGAGGTAGATCAGAGTAACAAAGAGAAAATGCATTTCCACTTTTAGTGAATTTCAGGGCCCTTAGTCAGGGCTTCTTTTGTAAGGGCGGGTCCACAGTTGAGCTCCCCATCCCACAGGAACCACTGACCCTCTGGCTACATCTTTCAAAATTTTGAAAAATTTTAAAAATTTTATTTCATCATGCTGTTGATTTCAAAGCATTAAATTGTTACAGACAACGTATCTCCCCAAGTACCTCTATGTTAGAGCCACGCCCTAACACAAGAAGCCCTAACCCAGGGACCCTGAAATTCAAAAATCTCAAAGAGGCATCCTTCCTCCTCATAATTATGTACATTGTTCATTGGTTAAGTACTCAGGTGCAGAAAAGAAGAGTATTAAATAATTTATGCATTTTCACTATATAATCAATAAAGTCCCGCTCTAATACCAGAACCCCCAACCCAGGAGCCATGAAATTTAACTATTTTGGAAGAGGTAGACTTATTCAACATAACTATGTACTTGGTTAGTTTATTTAATACTCAGAAGCAAAGAAGAAGATTTTCAAAGAAATAATTCATTTTTTACTTATGAAATGAATATATTCAGATGACCTAATAAACTTAAATCTACACTTCCTGAGGATAATTTCACATGAGTTATCTTTCCTGTCTTAATGGTTCTTCAGAAGAACATTTTTAAAGATTTTTCTTGTATATTCCTATGTAAAACTTTGATCAGCCATTTTGGCCCCACCCTACCCCTGAGGTCCAGATTTGAACAAACTTGAATATACGTACACTACCTGAGTAATATTTTACATGAGTTTTATCTTTCCTGGCACAGTGGTTCTTGAGAAGATTTTTAAAGAATTTTCCTTTATATTCATATGTAAAATACCGATCGGCCATTTTGGCCCTACCCTACCCTTGGGGGTCCTGATTTGAACAAACTTGAATCTACACTACCTGAGGATGATTCCACATGAGTTCCATCTTTCCTGGCACAATGGTTCTTGAGAAGAAAATTTTTTAAGATTTGTCCTAATATATTGCTATGTAAAATTTTGATCGGCCATCTTGGCCCCGTCCTAACCCTGAGAGTCATGAATTAAACAAACTTGCATCTACACTACCTGAGGATGATTCCACATAAGTTTCATCTTTCCTGGCCCAGTGGTTCTTGGGAAGAACATTTTTTAAATGCCATTAATTTTTCTCTAATTCATGATTATCTCCCCTTGGAAAAGGGTGTGGCCCTTCATTTGAACAATCCTGAATCCCCTTCACCCAAGGATACTTTGTGGGAAGTTTTGTTAAAATAGGCCCAGTGGTTCTTGAGAAGACGATGAAGATGTGAGAAGTTTACGACGACGACGACAACGACGACAACAACGACAGACAACCGACAATTTTTTTTATCAGAAAAGCTCACTTGGCGGGTTTGATTGACACATCTTTGCACCTATACAAATTAATTTTATTCTTAATCCTTAGGAAAAGTTGCAATCTTGTTGTGTATAAATGAAAAATATCAATACTACAATCCAGAAAATTCAGTGTAGACATGTTCGAAAGCAAAACAAACACACAATATATTGCAGTCCGTGCAGTTGTGGTATGCAGACTGTGACGATTTAGAACGCACCCAGTGAATTCTAAACAAAAACAAAAACAGAACTCTGTTTACAAAAACTGTGTACATAACACGAGTGTGCTTAATTTGCTAAACCATGTACGCAAGTCTTAGTTCGGAATGACGATACTTGTGAAGGAGTTTTGCTTTCTAACATCTCTACTCTGAATAAAATTATTTTTCTTGATAAAAGTTTTAATAATTCTCATTCATACACAACAAGATTGCCACTTTTCCTAAGGATTAAGAATAAGATTAAAATTTGTGAAAGTAAAAGCATGTGTCAATCAAACCCGCCGAAAAATTTGAAGTTTTAATAACTTTCAAATGAAATAAGATTTTTAATTAATTTTTGTGAGAAATGCTATTAAGAATATATAAGTCGCAATATTATAGAGAAAATATTGACTTCAAATCTGTGTTCAAGTCCCTTTAAACGTTATTGATTCTGTAAATAATAGGTTCAATAATTATAAAACACCATAAACATGTTATACTTAATTTGTTTTTTTTCTCTTGGAAAACAAATGAAAATCACAATTGCAGACCTCAGCGTATAACGTAAATTTATGTCTATACCTTTTAGAAAACAAGTGGCTCATGGGACATATCGCTCACCTGAGCACATGGGCTAGAGAATGTCAGTATATCAATAAACAATACATGTATAACTTAGCCATACTTGAAAAAAGGATTTTTAAAGATTTTTCCAACATATTACTTGATCTTCCACTGTGACCCCTCACTCCCCACCCCCGACCCCCACCCCCGGATTTATTTGAATAAATTTAAATCTCCACAACTTGCAGATACTTACTTATGACTAAACAAAACTTTTTAATCTTTGAGAAAAATTCTTTTCCTTGCAATGATATTCTTTTGCAAAACTTTGATCCCTAATTGTGGTCACACCCTAAAACCGGAGGTTATAATTTCAACAAACCTGAATCTAAACCACCTGAGGATGCTTCCATTAGTTCCTTATTAAAAAATTCTAATTATGGATTTGGTGTTCACCGGATATTTTTTAAAAATATTTTTAGTACATGTATATATTCCTATGTAAAAATTGATCCAACATTGTGTCCCCACTTCCCACCTTATCCCCCAAGTATTCTGATTTGAACAATCTTGTAACTACACTACCTGAGGATGCTTCCATTTAAATATCACCAATCATGCCATGGCTTCTGTTCTTGAAAAGAAGATTTTTAAAATATTTTCCTCAATAAATTTCTATGTAAAGCTTTGATTGTCCATTATAGCCCAACCCTACCCCGATGGGTCATAATATGAACAAACTTGAATTAACTCTCTAACTCTAACTCTAACTAAGGATGTTTCCATATTAATATCACCAATCATGGCTTTGTCGATCTTTAGAAGACGATTTTTTAAATAGATTTTTCCTATTACCATGTAAAATTTTGATCGGCCATTGTAGCCTCATCCTATCCTCGGGGGTCATAATTTAAACAAACTGAATCTTTATGCACTACCTGAGGATGCTTCCATATGAATTTCATTTTTCCTGGCCCAATGGTTCTCGAGAAGATTTTAAATATTTTTCCTTTATATTCCTATTTAAAATTTTGATAGGCCTTTGTGGCCCCGCCCTATCCTCGGGGATCGTGATTTGTACAAACTTTCATCTACACCACCTTTGGATGCTTCCACATAAGTTTCATATTTCCTGGCTAAATGGGACTGGAGAAGTAAATTTTAAAAGAAGCCCTTAATTTTTCATTAATTCATAATTATCTCCCCTTGGAAGAGGGCTGGCCGTTCATTTGAACAAATTTAAATCCTCTTCACCCAAGAATATTTTGTGGCAAGTTTGGTTAAAATAGGCCCAGTTGTTCTTAAGAAGAAGATGAAAATGTGAAAAGTTTATGACGACAATGACATCGCTGACAACGACAGACAACGGACAAATTTTGATCAGAAAAGCTCACTTGAGCCTTCGGCTCAGGTGAGCTATAAAAACGATTATTTTTGGCAGATAAGAAATAACCTTTCGTTGCAATCACACACACACACAAAGAAGAAACACATTAAAATGAAAAATCTCGGTCTAAAAGAATCATTAAATAATACAAAAAAAATATGTCTAGAGAATATAAAACGCCGTCCCCCTGGAATTTCCACAGGTGGGGTCAGGTGTCAAGGCGAAGTAAGCATCCCTCACATCCGCCAAGAGACGGCGGACAGAACTTTCCGTAGTCAATTCAGTTTAAAAACATATGGAGATAACAAATAGTATTCAAGACCAAATGTCCATAAAACAATACTAAATAGGAGCAGAGCAAACACGGACCCCCCAAAAACATCAGAGGTGGGATCAAATGTCATATGGAGGATGAGCATTCCCTACCGACCGGTCACATCTGCCGTGTGCTCCTTGTCAAGATCGGGAAATAATAATAAATTTAGTCGTCAATTCAGTGAAGAAATAATGGACTAACAATTAGCATGAAAAATCAGTATTTGAATGATAAATTGTATTTGCTGACAAGGTCATTGTATCGACCATAGAAATTACGCCAGGATGACTTGAAACGAGACTGTTGATATTTTTGTTTCATCAATTTGTTTGGAAATAATTTGCCTCGTTTTAGAAATTGTTCATACATAGAGCATGTTCTTACGTATCGAGTCAACTTAGATACACAAACTCCGTCTGCAGGTGAGGAAGGTATATTGCTGCATAAGTAAGGGAAGTTGGCGTTTGAAAAGTTTAAAGTCATCACGTTTATCATACAGCTTGGTTGTTAGATTACCATTTTAGTCTTTTTCAAGTAAGATATCAAAATATGAAACAGATGGTCAGACTTTGTGGTATCTTTTATCTAAAGCTCACCAGCATATATCTTATCGACATAAGAATGTAAATTACAATTGTTAATCGACAATCGTCCATATATCTAAATGTCGAGATGATGGCCATAGCAAGAGTGTTCTTCTTTCCATGCATACGATTTTGCACAAATTCTGCTTTATATGAATACAAAAAGGTCTGCTTATAACGCGATGCAATTGGTACCCATGGGAATTCCAATAAATTGTTGGAAGACCTGGTCTCCAAAAACAACATAGATATTGTCAATCAAAACATAGCCAAACAAATGGAATAAAAATCATACAGAGCTGATTAGCCACCCTCCGCCAGACCAGGGAAGCGATGTCCGTTCTATTTGTCAATAGTGACCACAGCAGGACTGCCTGAAGGAACTCTTGTCTGTTCTCGTATTCCTGCATTCTCTTAGAGTTTTCAGATGAGCTGTCGTCATCAGGCTTTGTTTCTGTATTTTAGAATAAGAAGATAAACGTCATTTGTAAATGATAATAACTATTCAAAGTTGTCTTGATAAGACTTCGAGTCTAAATAATACGTCCTGGGTCATCAGTTTCAAAAGCTTTAACACTTTTTGATGTTCATAAGTAACTAGATATCCTTGATAAGAAAAATCGAACATTTTCGATAATATGTTTCTAGTATACATCGTTACATAAGTTAGTTCGGTCTCTTCTCCGAGTGCTACAATCTGTATATATTCTGGAATCGTTGGTTTCTGCATTTTAGAAATAGATATTATTGTTTAAATCTCAAAATAATAAGAACAAGGCATGGTTTCCATACAAATTTTGCTCTGTGAATTTCTAAGAAATGAAACTGATGTAAAGGATGAGAATTAATTTTATTTGAATGATTGAAATTCCACGCAGAGAATTCATTCAAAATGTTTTTCTCACATGTGTTTTTAATTTCTAATTGTGACGCCATAAACATGTGCATTTTCCCGTATTTTCATCAAAAGTTGCAGAAGACAGCAATTTCAATGGAATTTTCTTTCATAAAATGTTGTCCACAGGCATCGCCCAAAAAGATTTTTAGGTATGTGATTTATTATTGTTTTTTTTACAACATATTAAAAAATGAAAGTGGGCGACAGCTGTGGACATTATTTTCTAAAGGAAACCTACACTTCAAATTGGTTAGAAATACGCACACTAACTCTCGATTTAAATAAATAAAATAATTTTCCTATAATAATAATAAATAAAAGTAAATTATCCATAATTCCAGCTCTTGACATAAGGGGGTGGATGATATTTTTCACTGAAATCGGAGTTTCAAGCATCAACATATTTTGAAATAGTTTTGGATATGATAAAATGTTCTTTATATCTTTTCTTATGTTATTGGCAAATAAATAAAACATAAATATAGCAATAAAATATATTGTTATACCTTTAGAAATTTGTTCCTATACAATTCTATACGAAAAAAAGTCTAACATTTTTAATGTTTTGATGAGCGGGCATACAAAAATCGATGTTGGACCGCTGAGTGAGATGTTGGACCGCTCGGAGAGATGTTGGACCGCTTACGTCACAGAATGGGCGGAGCTTAATCTCATTTTCATTCGCTGGTGTTAAACAGTGATAGATCTGGTGTTACATCACGGAATAAAGTACAAAATACATGTAAATAAAAAAATAAAATGAAAGGTATAACAAAACATTTATTGACTGAGTTCGAGGGCAAAATGCGTTTTGTCGAACCCTCGAACCAAACTGTCTGCCTTCGGCCTAACGGCCTCAGGCAGACAGTTTGGTTCTTGGGTCCAACAAAACGCATGTTGCCCTCGAACTCAGTCAATAAATGTATAATGTTTCAGTTGTAAATTGCTTTTAAATTGGTTTTTAAATTGGTGGAAAACTAGCATTTTTATCTTTTTTGTCAATAAACACATGTTCCACCAAAGTGTCAAACAAAAATCTTTGGTATTTAACATTACATAATACCTATAAAAATTAATTCTTGTGACTTGGGGGGGGGTGAGATGTTTTAGAAATATTTCCCGTTTTCTATTATGAAAAAACCAAGTTTTACCAAAAATGTTAGAGGTATCTCTCTTTGTTTTCCCAAATAAGAAATGTTTTATGAAAATTAAATCCATATAATTATCTATAAAAATATTAAACAAGAGGCCCAGGGGCCACATCGCTCACCTGAGCAATTGGCTAGAAAAAAGCAAATATCAGATCAGAACTGAAAATTTACTAAAGGCGGGGAGGGGGAAGGGCTTGAATTTTAACCCCCCAGGGGTCATGATTTGAAAAAAAACTAGAATCTACAAAACCTGAGGATGATTCCCTATAAATATCACTATGCATGGCTTTGAAGCACTTGAAAAGAAGATTTAAAACGGTTTCCCAATATATTCGTATTTAAAACTTTTATCGGTCATTTTGGCCCCACCCTACCCCAGGAGGTCATGATTTGAAGAAACTTGAATCTACACTACCTGGGGATGATTCCACAAGCGTTTCATACCGTATTTCCTGTCTTAATGGTTCTTGAGAAGAAGATTTTTCCTGTATATTCCTATGTAAAAATTTGAACGACTATATTGGCCCCACCCTACGCAAGTGAGTTAAGGCTAAATATGAATATTTCTATGCAAATGAGCTGATAAAAATTCATAAGTGGTATATTTGTATGTACAGAGAAAGTTCAAATTGATTTTCTTATACATACTAAGTACCCACAGTTTATTAATGCAAGTGCACATTATGACGTCATATTATGACGTCATTGTTCTCTCCCATTCAAGGTAATAAATCATATCAACAAAATTACGTCGGCGCAAGGGCATGTCCTATCTAATTTTAAATAAACAATGTATAATATTATGGAGAATATTATTAAAATTAATAAAATTGCTGCACAAATCCTATGGACTTTCTCAATCGATTAAAATTTTAGGAAACTTACACTGGACTATGAATTTTTACCCTGTTTAAACTTAAAACTGCACGGATAGTATCTAAACAATTGCAGTGCCGACATTTGTGCAGCAATATCGAAAATCCTTGGAATATCCTGCGACTTTTTATACCTTGCTTGTGTAAAACAAAGTAAGGTATGCCCTTGCGCCGAAGCGATTTTGTTGATGTTTCTGATAAACTTGTGTAGTAGAGATCGATGACGTCATAATATGACGTCATAATGTGTACTGGCTATTGCATGTCGTGGGTAACAAGAATGTATAAGAAAACAAGTCTTAAGATTTTCTGTGCAGTAGGTAGAACAATTATGGAATTTAATTAGATATTTTGCATAGAAACTTCCATATATAGCCTTAACTCACTTGCGTACCCCCAGGGGTCATGATTTGAACAAACTTGAATCTACACTACCTGAGGATGATTCCACACGAGTTTCATCTTTCCTGGCCAAGTGGTTCTTGAGAAGAAGATTTTAATATATTTTTCCTATATATTTTCATATAAAACTTTGATCGGCCATTTTAGCCCCACCCTACCCCCGGGGGTCATGATTAGAACAAACTTAAATCTACACTACCTGAAGATGATTCCACATGAGTTTCATCTTTCCTGGCCCAGTGTTTCTTTAGGAAATTATTTTTAAAGATTTTTCCTATATATTCCTATATAAAACTTTCATCGGCCATTTTGCCCCCACCCTTAACCCTAGGAGTCATAATTTGGACAAACCTGAATTTACACTACCTGAAGATGATTCCACATAAGTTTCATTTTTCCTGGCCTAGTGGTTCTTGAGAAGAAGATTTCTAAAAATGCCATTAATTTTTCTCTAATTCATAATTATCTCCCCTTGGAAAAGCGCGTGGCCCTTCATTTGAACAAACTTGAATTCCCTTTACTTAAGAAGACTTTGTTGCAAGTTTGGTTGAAATTGGCCCAGTGGTTCTTGAGAAGAAGATGAAAATGTGAAAAGTTTACGAAAACAACGACGACAAGAAGATTTAAAACGGTTTCCCAATATATTCGTATTTAAAACTTTTATCGGTCATTTTGGCCCCACCCTACCCCAGGGGGTCATGATTTGAAGAAACTTGAATCTACACTACCTGGGGATGATTCCACAAGCGTTTCATACCGTATTTCCTGTCTTAATGGTTCTTGAGAAGAAGATTTTTCCTGTATATTTCTATGTAAAAATTTGAACGACTATATTGGCCCCACCCTACCCTCATTTGAACAAACTTGAACTCCCTTTACTTAAGAAGACTTTGTTGCAAGTTTGGTTGAAATTGGCCCAGTGGTTCTTGAGAAGAAGATGAAAATGTGAAAAGTTTACGAAAACAACGACGACGACAAGAAGATTTAAAACGGTTTCCCAATATATTCGTATTTAAAACTTTTATCGGTCATTTTGGCCCCACCCTACCCCAGGGGGTCATGATTTGAAGAAACATGAATCTACACTACCTGGGGATGATTCCACAAGCGTTTCATACCGTATTTCCTGTCTTAATGGTTCTTGAGAAGAAGATTTTTCCTGTATATTCCTATGTAAAAATTTGAACGACTATATTGGCCCCACCCTACCCCCAGGGGTCATGATTTGAACAAACCTGAATTTACACTACCTGAAGATGATTCCACATGAGTTTCATTTTTCCTGGCCTAGTGGTTCTTGAGAAGAAGATTTCTAAAAATGCCATTAGTTTTTCTCTAATTCATAATTATCTCCCCTTGGAAAAGGGCGTGGCCCTTCATTTGAACAAACTTGAATTCCCTTTACTTAAGAAGACTTTGTTGCAAGTTTGGTTGAAATTGGCCCAGTGGTTCTTGAGAAGAAGATGAAAATCTGAAAAGTTTACGAAAACAACGACGACGACAACGACAGACAACGGACAAGTTTTGATCAGAAAAGCTCACTTGAGCCTTTGGCTCAGGTGAGCTAAAAATTATCGAAAATGTTATCTTTTGCAAAATTGACTTTGTGGTGCGGTGGAACAATACTAGCGTTCGCAGTTCTTTGAGGCCTTTTCTGCTAAAATACAGACACCCATCACATTAACGACGTCATATTTGCAGAATGGTAATCATTTGTGCCATATTCTTTCCTAATTTATCACAGTCATATACTTGACTAATATTGTAGTAAGTTTCAAGAATTTTTGATGACATTACATTTTTAGGACACAATAAAGCTAAACCCATACCTTCTTCTTTAATAATTTATGTTATATTGCCAAATTCATTTGAATTGAAGAGTTTTTAGGTCGTCTAAAATTAAGCATAACATTTATTCTTTTTAAAGAATAAAATGTATACGTCATCTACATATTCGAGGCCTAAAATGTGAAATAGAACTCACCGTTGTATTTTAAAAGTCTTTTACACATCTTCTGAGCATTTTTGTGAGAATCCCTTTCACCTTCAAAAAGACTCTTTGCTAGTTTTTCCTGTCCACCCATTTC